TAGCAAAAACTGCATATGTTGAAAATGGTCGGACTATTTTTTTTCACTTTTTCTTGATTTTTTTCCCCCTCAAGAAATGTAAGAAATCAAAAGTGTAGGTAAATAATATCTTGTTTGCAGCCATATAAGAAAGCCTGCATAAAGATTTTCAGTATTCAGAGATGTGATAATTCAAATACTGCAGTTACATATGCACTTTTTTTATTTTTTATTTTAGTATAACCAATATTCCAAAGCCCTTACTGGTAAGGTTGACCCTTTAAGAATTCAAATGCATCTTTAAAAGCCCCAGATGAATTAATGTCCTTATGAGTGCATTTTTTAAAGGTCTTTCAAGCAATGCACTTTATCTGTAAGCTAGAGATGTAGTAATTCTGCTTTTTAAATATTCTTCAAATATTTTTGCTTCCTAACGACTAAGGCGGCTGGCCATGCTTCATAGTCATCAGATTGCTGCCATATTTCTTGAGCTACAAAAAGCCCAACTGATGCCCATCCACCGACTTAGAAACTTTATTCCTAATTGTTTAAGGCTCAGACTTCACTTCAAAGATCCATAAAATCTTCCTCTACAGCCGCAAGAGTTTGTATCAGCCTCGGATCTCGGAGGTGAGATGTTTTGCCAAAAGCTCCATTTTGTGTATTACAGGCAGCCCTTAAGGGAGTACTCCCGTGTTATTCATTTCCATTTCAAAGCTAAAAGCTCATGGAGTGATGTCAGAGGAAAGAGTCTGAAGTGGTGCATGCTCAAATGGGAGCAAAAGAATAAAATAAATAATACCACTAACTGCATGACAGGATCGTGCAGCGGCAGAACTGAGGTAAGCATTTCAAACACTCTATTTTACCTATGCAAGCCTGCTCACTTCACCTTAACATCCTCTTTTACAGAAGCTCAGGGTCAGATATTTATTTCTTCCCTTGTTACTTGCTTTGACTGTCTTCTGAAAGCAGATTCCTAACTGCATCTGGTTCTCTCCTCAGTATTTCTCATCATTATCAAACCACCTACCCAATTCTGCCACCTGCCAACCCCACCAACACCACCACCCCCTTATATCCTGTAGGCTCTAATTGGCCTGGCGTCCTTCACAACGGAGAGCGGCACTAAGAGCTGGGCCGAGCGAGCTAGCAGGCTGATAGAGACATCTTGAAATGCCAGGTCACAGACTGGGCTGCTAACTCTCCTCCCAGCCTTGTCATGCTGCTTACAGTTAACCTTTTCATTAGATGGCATTTGTCGACAACAGAGATTTTGCAGTCATATGTACGGGTCGGTGGGGTACGGTGGGGACAGGACATGAAAGGGTGCATGACGGCTTTATTACACTGATAAAACGCGACGAGAATCTTCACAAGAACAAAAGCTTCTTTTTAAAAGATCAGAGGACTGATTAATTCTGTCTTTTTTTGTCTTGTACATAAATACATGTTGTTTCCTCTAACGAATCTCTGTAGAGATGCAGAGATATTTCTTTCCAAGTATAGTTGAGCCCAAAATAAATCAAAAGCCAAGCAGATTTAGGTTTAAAGTAACCTTAAACTTACCGAAATGCCACATCTGAATGGAAGCGTTAACATTTTTAAATTACCAGCCCAGGGTCACATTTGATATCTGTGGAGGGTGATGGTAATAAGGCCTTGTGACCTGCAGGACCTTGAGTAGATAACATTGAAGTATCGGTGAGAAATAACCAGCAATCGTAAAAGGCGGACTGCTTCAAAGCTTACAAAGATGGTTCCACTGATTCTTTGAAATCTAGTTAAAAAGTCAAGACTTTATTTACTCTGATTTATCATCTTTTGAGAAAGGCTATGGCATGATCTTGGTACTTATGTCTGGTCTGATTACTCATTTCACTCACGTGTTTATTTCCGCCCAGTTCTCAGTATCAATTTAGCCAGCCTTCAAACCAGTCATCAGTGCCAGATTATTCAAGCCTGTTGTGAGAAGTTTTTCAGTGTTCCTGTATTTCTGATTGCCTGATCCTGACCGATTTTGCCTTTGGACCTCTGAGTCTGCCTGTCCCCGTTCTGATCCATTTGCCTGACCTGACTTTGCACTCCTGCCAGATTTCTAACTGTCTGTTAACCGAACCTGGAACTGTTGCCCGACTCCGTCCTTGATTTCCCTTCGACACCTCTTCAAAGCTCTGATCTCCTGGCTCTGACTACCGAGCACGTTTTTGATGCCGCTTTTGATTTCGCCCTCTGGATTATCCTGTCTAACTTTGTCTGCTCGGTTCCAATGTCCTGCCTGTTCTCCAACCTCCGATACTGCAGTGTCTGGGACTCTCTGGGCGGTGCCCACTGTGTCTTGTTGGTAGCCGACCGGCTGGGACCAACCTCAGAGTTCCATGTCCAATAACGTTTCGAGAAATCTAACTGTTTGTCTCCCTCGAAGACTGGATCCTATTGTTCTGAGCCTCACAGTCTGTGGGGAGAACTTGTGGCATGTGATCTAGAGAAGGCTACAATACTTCCAGTCAAAGTTACGTCCATATAAAACACTGTTCTGCTGCTGTCAGCGTGTGACTTTGACTGGTTAAGTAATTGTAAGGGTTTACTATTAGTATGGTTGCAAGCGATTTTGATTCAATTTAAATTAAATTATTTATACACCCTAGTTCAGGATATGTCATCTCAAAGCACCTTACAAAGACAGTTGAATCAGATCCAAGAACTGGTAGAAAGGTTTACTGATGATGGAAAACCAGCCGATTGCATCAAATCATTGACTTATTTAGATGAGTTGAAGGCTCTTATTTTGAAGGCAAAATAATAAAAAATAATAAAATTCCTTTCTTTGCAGCTGCTTCTCAGCCAAACTAAGCATCATAGGAATATCGGAAACCTTTATTAGTATTAGTAAAATCTCGTCTTTCTTTCCTATAAACCAATAGTGAATCGCCACTCAAGATTGAATGATACATCTGCAAGTTAATATTTTCTTCTCTTGTATCGGTACATGCATTTGTTCGCTAAAGAATTAATGCATTCAGCATATAACTTTTTAAAATAATTTAAAACATATAAATGTAGGAAGAAAAAAGCAATACGGACTTCAATAATCGTCCACCCCCAAAACATCTGCAACACCAGTCAGCCTCATCTAACCGATTGACTGATGTCAAATAATTGGTATCGGCACTGACCTTGAAAAATCTACTTAAAAAAAAAAAAATCCCTTTCTTGTTTCTTTTCAGAATTGAGGGATCAAAAGCTCTTGGTTGAATGAAAATTACTTAATGCATCAGACTGCAATTTGGAAGCACCTACGAACACAGCCTGTCTCCTGGAGTGTGTTGCTGCTGGATGGGAGCCCCATAAAGAGCTTAATGAAGGTGAAATGTGATAAAACAGTACAGGTATGAGAGTACGTAAAGTAGAACAGCGTTTCTAAAAGTAATCTTTACAGATCACTGATGCTTTGGAGCCCCAGCAATTAAAGTGTAGAGCCAGATATCATTTGTGATGTAAGAAATTCTGCTGAGGTCAGGAGAGGGTGGGACTTTTGGCCGAGTGGTCTGAGCAGTGTGCTTGTGCTCTGTTCCCCGGGCGCCGCATATTGGTTAAGGCATAGGGCTTGGAGTCCAGAGGTTGTGAGTTCGAAACCCACTCCCACAGACTGCCATTCTGGCTCCCACACTGCACTGCTCTGCGGGCACAGCACAATGGCAGCCCACTGCTTCCCAAGGGGAATGGGTTAAATGCAGATAGTGAATTTAGTTGTGCTGTACTTGTAAACACTGCAACACTGGAAAATAACAACTGTTATAATTTTGTTAACAGAGTTTTATCATTTTTTTAACCATATTTTATATGTGGCATTTAGCCTTGGGTGAGACAGTATGCTAATAAAAATAGAACACATGTAGAGGATGTAAAACCACACATTCCTCAGCCGAGTTAAACAGCTCTCTTGTTCTTCCTCGTGTCTTCAACCTGCTGAGAAATGCTGATTTTCTAAGTGAAGGAACTCCAGCTGCACAGTTCAAAAGAACTGAAAATGTGAAATTCAAAAATTTATTTCAGTTAATAGTTTCATATGGCTTATGAGAATCTGAAACTCCGCAGAAATGTTTTGTCATGCGAAATAATGGTGAACACAGCAGCCTTGACATTACTAAAGGAGCTGGCAGTTCACAGAGTGCTGCATTCCAGCATGATGATGGGAAGTTACACTTAAGCATGGCGCTTAACCCGGAGTTACCTGTCGATATGTTTGTGTTTTTGTACAAATGAGTGCACCTATGAAAATTAACGGATATGGCTTTATCTCTTCGATTGATCCGTTTAAACCATTTATTAAAATATGTCAAATTGAAAAGAAATGAGCACCTAAAATATGTCACAATGTAATCATACCATGATAAATCCCTGTTCTTTGATTTTCTCTACTAGGGAGTTGAAATAATTAAACCTACTGCTAATATTATTATATGAATAAATGCTACACTGAATGTGCTGAATGAATTGATTTTGTTTTTCGCCTCCTCATTAGGCTCAGAGTTGTGGCCCATCTAAAAGACAGTCTAATGCAGCTAATGGCCAGAAGATCCCAGCAGATTCAACTTAAATGTTTCTAATCCAGAGTGTGACTTTTAAAGAAGGAGGGAAATTAATTTCTAATGAGTAATATAAGCAAAAAATAATGGAGGTCACCTAAATGAAAAGGGGTTGAGCTGCTCTCCCATTACTGCCAAAACCAATGGGAGCAACACCTTAACTGTGCATACATATATGTATTTGCAGTGTTGCATGTGATAAAGAATGCATGGCTGTTGCATTATTAAACGACCACATGAAGCATTCATGGCTATCATTTAGATGTCAGCACAGACACTAGTCAGAGCGGCGCTTTATGATCCAACGCTCAGAAATGGGTATTTAACATCCTAATGCATTTATATTTTGGAAGTCTTTTAAAAAATAAAGACTAAATATACCAATGATTCATCAATTATTTTAAAAAAGCCATTTAGTTTTTAAATGCTTACTTGATGTCACTTTCTTGAATCCGTTCCTCATCCAGGTCTTCGATATACTTATCCCCCTTCATCCAGTAGATATGTGGAGTGGTGTCCCCGGTGTATCCAAAGAATGCACTGCATGTCAGATTGACAGGACTTCCTGGAAGGAAAAACAAACAAGATATGAGACGACAACTGCAGGGATCTAGGGCAATATAACTAATTAACTCAAAGCGAAAATTAAAATATGCTTGTTTTTGCCTTGGAGAATATTAGTGGAAACATCTATAAAGGATCCAAAAAAACAGATACAATTGGTTCATTTCTGCTTCGACAAACCAGCTGCTTCTAGAACAACATCTATTTTCCTTTAGAGCCCATTTGTCTCTTTTAAAATGAATAAAACCATTGATTTACATCAAAATCTTCAGATCTTCCCATCTAAAACCCTTTAAGGACCTTTCTAAATTCCCTTAGAAGCCTTTAAACTTAGACACACCATCTTTGTAGCAATCACTTTTAGCCAATAGGGGCACTACACATTTAACTTCCAGGTTTAGCAGCTGAAAGCAACTGACAGGGATTCACTGTCGGCACGTCACCCAGAGGCACGATCCGTACCATCAGCTACTTTTCATATGCGCAACCAGATATACATTCGGGTTTCCATAAATAATGTAATTATGCTGCTAAAAGTACTTGTTTTTATCCTTAACTCAATAAAGAATGCTAATACACATCTTAAAAAATGTTTTATGACTTTTCTGAGACAATTTTATGCTTTTTCCATTTTCTTTGTTAAGCTGCTTGCCATACGTCGTCATCGGACACCCCCAGAGTAGTCCCGCAAAATATGATTAAACCATGTTTATCTGCATTTTAGTTGTTACTCAAAAAGAATAATTTTATGTTTAAAAGCTGAAAAAGTTAGCTCCCGGAAGTAGCATAAGATCCCATTTCTAGTACAGATCAAACACATAACAAAAAAAAGGATTTTGATGCATTTATTTTCTCAGGAAAGAAATTTTTTGTTAGGACTCCAGTCTGTGTGGTCTGTGTTTCTGTGAGTTTGTCTTCCTTCCTCCACCAGGCGGCACCTGGTTCTGATTCTCCTCCTCACACAGGGGGTTACCTTGTTAACGGAGTGTTCTTAAGTTGCTCTCTGCCACTACCTCGACGCCAGAGTGTTTGCCAGTTTTGGGTATTCTAGCCAAGCTGAGTTTTGCTGAGTCAAACTGAGTTTTTGTCAACCCGAGTCTTAACATTGTTTTTTTTTGTCTTTGCCTCTCGGCAGGAAGTCATCCTGCAAACTGGATTTTTCGTACTTTCTCTCCCTGGAAGAATCAACGGAGCTTCAAACTGAGCTGAGGATACAAACCGGAGGTTTGGATCCACTTTTCCCCGAGGAAACGTTTGAGCTTCATACTGAGCAAGGGATTCATCTGCACAACAGTCCTTTCCCATGCAGGAAATCTGAGTGGCAGTCAGTCTTTCTCCGTTCATCTACAAGCAACCGCATTCTGGGTAACCCTGTCCGCCCTCCTCCGTATGAGACAAACACCGGAACACATTCCTCACCTGCTGGAGTCTAAGAGTAAACCTAATCTCTGGAAACGTGAGTCTGCCAACCTTTTCTCCTCTACAAGTTCGAGAATCAATTCTCCCACTGAACCTGAACTAACCGCAGTGTCTTCCCCTCACCTTTCAGTTCCGGTTGAGCAGTGTTAAGAGCAACCTCCACAAAACTTCTCAATAAACCTGTTAAACTTTTTCCCTTTTCTCTCTGGACTGGTTAATCTGCATTTGGGTCCAAGCTCTCTAACACATTGTAGTTTAGTACACTTTCTATTTTTAGGGAGGTAAAAATGTAATTTAGGTCTATTTTACAAAGTGAAATCGAGGGCAACCCAGATGTATATCAGGTTGCGCATGCACAAATGATCCAATGATATGGATTGTGCTTCTGGTATGGATCGGGTAGTGACCCGAATGAACTTGAGTGAATGAAACGCCCTCTGAGTTTTCCAACCTGATAGCAGACCACGTTGGACCAATATATTAAGAATGAATAGAGTTACTTTTAAATACAAGGCCACTTTAAACCCTCTAGAATAAATCCTACATCAGATAACCAACACCATGCCTTAACAGGTAAGTGTACTACCTGTTTTTTTGTCTAACAACAGCTTTCAGCTTAGTTAGCTCCAATGCTTGAGGGGAGCTCTGGGTCACAAATCATTGAGTGATTCCATTCTTTCAACTTAGAAAAGCAATTTGTGGAGAAGGACAGCCCTCACAGAGCATTGAACTCAAATTAAGCTAATATTTGGATGCAAAGTTAAGCAGTGTAGCTTTAAGATTAATGCAACCTTCAAAAATTCCAGTTTCTTCAATCATATTTTTTAATTTGAAACCTCCAAAGAATTTATTTTTAAGCTGTTTTTTTTTAAAAAACAATAAGCCTAAAAAGAGCTGTTGACATGTAAAAGCAGCTCCTTAAAGAAGAAGCTCTGTTTAACATCTATGAATGCTTGTGTGCAATGTGGAAGTACAGCAGGAAAAACACAGGCCTGTAAACAATCAGAGACAAAATTTTGCCCTACTTGTGTTGTTGGGACATAAATAATAAAACCTCTGAAAATAAAACAGTCAAAGGCATAGTGGGAATATTTTGGATGCATTTTACTCAGACATTGAAGCGTGCACGTCTTGCAGACTCCAACTACTATAAGGTTGCCAAAGGAACAGCAAACTTCTAGGCTTTTTTAGCATTGCACCAATAAAGACGAGTACAGCAGCTCATTTTTGCTGCAACTGCTCAAGCTTCTTTTCACATTTTCAACTACAAACACAACTAAAGAAGAAAAGTATGGAAGTGTGTGAAGAATGGGGATGTTTAAAGCATTTTCTTTAAACCAAGGCAGCATAAAGGAGAGCCTTTTTTCTGGGGTGACCAGCGAAAAGAGGAAGTGAGGGATGAGAAAGTCCAGAGAAAACACAAATGAACACATAAGCTCCTTCGCTCACATCAGCGGGAGGTCCTCTCTCTGCTCAGCTCATTTTCAACACGACATCCTCTGTGACGGCAGACAGATAAAGCCCTATTAAATTTCTTTTTTCTCGGCTTTGGATTAAAGACCTCAAACTCATTTTTCACACGTATGACACATATGCTGTGACACAGAAACGATTAGGAGAAATATTCCTATGTATTAACAAAATAAAGAAGTGACTCAGGTCTGGAGAAGAAACAAACGGGGAGAACAAGCAGAGTCCAAGGAGGCGGAAAGGTGATTCAGCAGCTCTTTGTATGTCTGGTTGTTCACTGGCCCTATGGCAATGACTCAGAAGTCTGTGAGATGTGTGATAACTGTGGCGTATAATTGGGTACTTGCTAGTTCAAAGATAATACGAATTTTACCTTACAGGGCCAGCTCTAATTTGGCCCTTTACTCCAGTCTTGCATGGCCAGGTGATAGCTAGTGTGTTAACAGGAAAATTCTGGTTTGGGGAAGCAGAGCATCGTTTTAATATTCCTACCGACTGAAATGTTTCATGTTTTGTCCCAGAAAAAAACATCCCCTTATGCGCATTATTTTGATTTTATATAAAAGGCCAAACACAAATACTGGATAACTATGACATGACAGATATTTATTTTTGATAAATTGGTTTTTAGGTGTTTTAACATCTTCAAAAAACTTCTCCATTGGATTTAGCCTTAAGTTTGACTATTCCTTGCACATAATAGGAAGCATTGTTTGTCAGCTAGATATGTTTTGCATACCAACTAGACTAACTTTATTGTCATCCTGTATGCATGTATATAATGAAATTGCAATCAAGTACGGTACAAGTCCAACATTAATTAATTATACAATAAATAACTAATTGCAGCACCGATAGGATTGCATCAGAAACAGTTTCAAACAATGTGTAAAAGAATGTTCAACCATGTTTACAGTACAAAAATAATGGTGCAAAATGGCAGAAGTTCAGTTAAAATGAATTTTAAAAGTTGAAAGTGCAAAATTCCAGTTAAAAGTTCAGTTGTGCACATGTTTGAAGCAGAGTCTTGTTAAAAACTGAACAGTTCAACAGCCTAATGGATTATTTTTCTCTTATCAGATCAGAGGACTTGCCTTCACATACTCGCCTCGTCCCCAACAAGACAGGAAATCCTATCTTTGAACAACTTCACAGTATTAATGTTTAGTATTTATCCAAGAGACAATATTTGGGTGGTAAAAGATGCTTTTATCGTAAAATACATGAAAAGAAACTGAATATGAAATCAAAATAGATTTTTTTTGTGATATTGATGAAGTAATCAAGATTTAATTTAGAATTGAAATGAGAAATAAGGAGAAAACAAATGCAAACCACTAACTTAAAAAAATTAATATGACTAGTTTGCAAAAATATATGCAAAGCTGCACATTTTTAACTATTTTGCAAAAAAGCATTCAAACTCTGTACAGCTGTATGTTGGGGGTAATGTTAGAAAGCTAGAATAACTGAGAAGAGCTTCTTCTGGGAGGCTAAGGGCCATTCATGGACCACCCACATACTGTACAGTTGCATGAAAACACACCGTGTTCTGCCACTCTGGTCCACCAGGGGTCTCTGTGGTGCCACAGCGCATTAGAGCCAGAGTGAATAAAGAGAAAATAAAACAACCCCCCTCTGAAAAAAAAGGAAGGAACCATATTATGACAGGTGCAGACACAGTAAAAGGAAGCACCGATTCTTCAGTGTGCCACCTCTGATGTCAAGAGGCTGCAGCCATGGATCCAAACAGCATGTAGTATTGTAGTATTGACTGATCCACTGCTGTGCTGACACCAGCTGCTGTGTCACTCTCCAGGACTTATTGCGAGGGGGGCTCCTCGTGCATATGGCTGCGTGCTATTCCCATAACGATGACGTGTTAATTTGTGCCGGTTTATCTGCAAACAGCTAAGGCTGCAGAGGTAATGCGCTCAGGCTGGGGAATGCACAAACAGCCATGCCAGGATTTAAGCATACGGATCCTAACATTTAAATCCCAACTTCTGGTCCTTGTCGGAGCAGTAAAGTGACTCTTAATGCGATTGCCTCTCCTCTCTTATCTCCCATAGACAGAGAGAGGAGACACTGATGAATTTATCTGTGTGTTGC